CCCTGCCTCACTGTATTGGGTGTAGGAATGAGTCCCTGTCTAGACTTGTATCTGCAGAATAAACCTTGCTGTTGCATTCTGGACATCCAAAGGTCTACGGTGGTCTCTTTGGGGGGTCACAATCTGGGCATAACAAGTGGTGCTGAGGTGCTGCCGAGATTCAGGTGACAGCTGACAACCAAGCTATTACTATTGTGACAAAACCATCCCTATGCGTCCCACAGTAAGACTCTGCCATCTTAAAACTGCCTCGGGTACCTACCTGTACGCTAAGAGATTTGAGAGCCTGGAGGCATGCGTAATTCCTGTCTCACCATGTTATGATGAAGCAGAGGGAAACCTCACAGGAAACCAGATTTGGCCACCTGACCTTGGACTTCCAGCCGCTAAAGCTGGAGTCTAAACAAACCTCTTTTCTTTACAAGCCACCAGCTTCCCGGATTTTGTTTAGCAACACAAAAGGTGTAGCTAGGTGCCGACTAGGTCACATCTACCTACATCAGCCTCGTTCTCACAGCTGCCTTAAAGTAAATGGCAAGCCCGCCATCCAGAGACTTCCACGACTCTGTGACCCTCTGAAAAGCGCCACCAGATACCCAGATTCCAGGAAAATGTTAGATTTCAGATCAGAGTTGAACCTGGAATGCCTACTGCTGCACACACACACACACACACACACACACACACACAGAGAGAGAGAGAGAGAGAGAGAGAGAGAGAGAGAGAGAGAGAGAGAGTTCACTGAGTAACCTTCTAAGACTCCCAAGGCACCTGATTTCCAGGAGAACGGTAGGCACTATTCTCACTTCCTACAGGAAGTTTACTGGCCTAGGCTACTGGGCTCCAGGACATCAGAGGGCTACTGATACAATAGGAACCCCTTAACTGAATGTGCTTCCTCTCCCCAATCCCCCCACATCCTCTAAGCCACAGGCCAACAAGGTTCTTTCCCCAGAATGCAAGTCCTCTTCCCTTCTCCTACCACCTGGGGATCAGAGGCCACCTAACAACAAGCAGTAGTATTATGGACCATCAAACCCCGTCCCCCTCCTCTGAGACCTGTAGAAAAGAGTCCACATCCTGCTTCATGGGCCGGACCTCTCCTCAGGGTCCCACCACATTGCAGTCTTTCTGTACTGTTAATAATTCTGGCAAAGCTCTTACCCCAAAGCATACTCCTCAACGTCCCCTCTTGAAATCCTAATCTTAGAATCTTTAAAAACGAAAACAGCAGGTACATCCCTTTAACCTGGTATCCCACCTCACCATCACGGGCTTCCAAATGCAGCATGGAAGTTCTGTGTGACTTGGCCAGTCTCCATAACCCAAGTCCGAAATTTGCATCTATAACCTTAGTAAATTCTTCTCTATCAAGACAGAGTGAAATCGCCTATCCCACAACAATATAGAACTACTTTAAGGATCCCATGAATCTGTGTGCTTAGAACCATCCTCCACTGATTGCAAAAGCAGAGGAACAGAGGTGTCCCCTTGGGACAGTGGAGCTACAGCCGCTGCCTCCAGCTCCTGCTAGAGGACAGTCGTATACACTAGTGTCACGAAGCACTGGAGGCTTTTACAGGTGTTGATGAGATACAACGAAGGAAGTGAGTGGGCTTGCCTTCCTGAGGACAGCCAGTGGACAGTGTCTTAGAGCCACCTCTCAGGGGCAAGGTGTGCTGGACCTCCCAGGGTGATTTAAGATGCCACTGCCAATAGTAGACCCAGGTAAACACCGTCTTCCTCAGTGGGAGTGGGGTTGATGTTTGGAGCGCCAATTCTAACTGGTCTTAATAATAAAAACCTGGAGTCGGATGTTAGGGCGAAAGCTGATAGATCAGAGAAGCAGAGAAGCAGCCACTAGACTTCTTACCTAGACTTCTTTCCTCTAGGAATCCTGAGACTGAAAGGGGCTGAGCTCCTGTCTCCTGACTTATATTACTGTCTCCACCTCTCTAGTGCTGGCATTAAAGGCATGAGCTTCCACCACCTGGCTCTGTTTCTCTTTTAGACTGGATCAATCTCATGTAGCCCAGGGTGGCCTTGAACTCCTGATCTTCCTGCTTCCTCCCAAGTGCTGGGATTAAAAATGTGTGCCACCTGCCAGGCGGTGGTGGTGCATGCCTTTAATCCCAGCACTCGGGAGGCAGAGCCAGGCAGATCTTTGTGAGTTCGAGGCCAGCCTGGTCTACAAAGCAAGTTCCAGGACAGCCAGGGCTACACAGAGAAACCCTGTCTGAAAAAAAAAAAAAAAAAAATGTGAGCCACCATGGCCTGGCCTCTATGGTGAACTAGTGGCTAGTTCCAACCTCTGATCTATAGGTAAGTTTTATTTGTTAGAGCACAAACAAAATACCACCACAGATGTTTTCCCCATGGTTGATACCCTGACTGGTGTCGTTGCTCAGACACGACCTGCTTGATTGGCCCTCTGACCACCGTCCTGATTCTCCAGGGTTCTTTGTTTCCTTCTTCCCTAGCTCAAAGAACCTGATATAAAACATTGTTTTCAATTTCATCGTGTCTGAATAAATTATCTTTCTGCCTTTTCCAGCTTAAATATAACCTCCTGTGGGACAAAAAAAAAAACAAAACAAAAAAACTTTGTCTATTTTGTACCTAATACAACTGGCAATCGATTGAGTAAAAGAAACTGCTTGATTCATAATCTCTGTGCCTGTCCAGAGAAACAATGAAACTCTGAAGGCTTTCTCAGTTACTAGGTCAGGGAAAGCTGGGAGGCAGTCTGGCTGAACTGGAAAATTGGTAGGAGGAAGATTTTAATTTTTGATTTTGTTTGAACCACATAAGATACGTATTTGCATCTCAGACGTCACTCTTTCTGACGTCACCAGCCATCTTGAACGTGCCTGACTTCTTTTTCTCCCTTCTCTCTTCCCTGTACCCCATAATTTTCCTGTCACATCTCAAAATAGCAAGTGCTCTTCCTGCTGCATATGCATCTATACATATCTTTTTTGTGTAAATGAGTGTTTTAAGTAAAGTGTGAAGACGAACTTCAGTTTCAAAACAGAGATATTCTAGTTAAATATGCTATTATAACAAAAAGTCTTGAATAAGGACTCACTGAACAAGAGCAGCAATAAAGGGTTGACTTGATTGATAGGGGAAACAAAGCCTGAAGTCTCTCAAGGTTAATAAACTAATGCAGACGATGATAACTGCTTGGATGGGCCCTAGGTCCCATTGCCAGAGGCCAGTGACAGAGGTCCATTGAGTAGCAGGTGGAGTGAGTTCTGAACTGGACCCTAGGTTTCTCTGTGGTCAGGATATCTGTCCTTCTAGGCTGCAAACCCCACTCTTACGATCCAAGAAGTCACTGGTGCTGTGGCATCTGAGGCAAATGTCTCAGAGAGACGAGAGAACTCAAACAGTGTGAAGAAAACAGAAGAAGATGTGAGCGGGGAGGTGTTCAGTGTCATAAATCCATTTGCACAGTTGGCAGCCGAAGCGGTGTGTGCCCTCACGTCAAGAAGCCTTCCAGTCTCCAGTGTGCTGAAACGTAATTGAAATTTAAAATATATGCATGTTGTTTTATTCTTCCAGCCTTTTTCGTCACCTCTTTCCTATACCTTTCAATTTTTTAGGCAAAATTTTAGGCAAGTGAATTATTGTTCTACCCTAATTCTTCCAGCAAGGAAAACATAGATGCTCTCCATTCCATTTCTAGCCTCTGACACAGTGCCCGAGACAATGATGGTCCTGCCTTCTACTGGACCTGGCTCATAGGGAGTTTATGGCTACCCATTAATACACTGTGAAAAACGATGCAAAAAAATGGAATACAGCCTAGTGATGAGCATGGTGAATTCCAAATTCTTAAATCTTTATGCAGAAAATGAATTTTTTTTTTTTTACTATATGAAAATCTGGCCATCTTTAGATCCAGTCCAGTTCATGGCTTTCATATACATCTATGAGTTTTAATTGCATAAGTAAGGATAAGGGGTCACCTTAAATATAAGATACAGACATTTTTCTCATGAAACTATTTCTCTCCATAAAGAAGTTAGTAAACTCCAGTGCCAAAATTGATCAGAATCACACATCTCAATGATCTGAAAGTATGTTGAATTAAAATATAGCCAGAAAAAGACTTCAATTTCTTAGCTCATATTCCATCCACTGATGTAAACAATCACGTGGGCATAATTGAAAACAACGTTATTTAAACTTCTGTGTGGTATTTCTTACTTAGTGTTGGCTGTAGCTCCTATGGTAAAGTCTTGTCATGCAGTGCATTCTCCAAACCAGGCTGTCACGTCATGCCGGACACCATTCAGGCCTTTGCTTCTCCCCTCCACCACACACACTTGCTAAGGATTGTTCGGTTGTAGAACTGGGAGGGGATGAGGCCCCCTAGGCCCCCCCAGCTCACATCTGTCCCTATCCCTAGGGAGCACCCCTACCCCAGAGCCACTGAGCCGCACCCACACAGCAGGTGGCTTCTCTCTGGAAACAGCAACCTGGTTATGAGAAGCGGAAAGGAACAGCGTCTCTCTTCCGCTGCCCAAGTGCCCTTCAGTCTGTACGCTGGGTCCTCCCAGAGGACACAGCAGTCACGGCTCAGCGGCCAAGGGCTGGAGGCAGGGCTCAGGCAGAACCTGGAGCTCTGGCTGTTGCTATGGTAGCAGCAGGGCGATGTAAAGCTTCCAGTGGCGGATCTGTCTCAAGAGTTTATACCACAGCCCTATGCCGCCGTCTGTGTTTAACGCATGCTGGGGAAAGACGGGTTCACGCTGTCTCCCCACTCCCTCCGTCAGCTTGCCTTGACATCACTGGGTGACACTCTGAGAGGCAGGTCAGGTGAGGTCTCTGACCCAGGTCGTCAAGGGATTCTGCAGAAGGAAAGGCTCAGTTCTTTCTGCTTGTTTGGAAGGAGCATGACAAAGCAGACATTTCTTCTGCGTGTTTAGCCACGGCAAAATGTCTGGTCCTGCGGTGACTGATACCCTTTACTAATTGCAGAGTGGTTGATCTAAGAGCAAGATTCACTCCACTGTGATCGTGGCATTACTCAGAAACACTAAGAGCTGTTATACAGATGATGCAGGAGATGCACCTGAAGTATATACATTTGGTCCAGAAATAGCAACAGAGTTTACTTCCCTCCCTCCCATCCTGCCTTCCTTCCTTCTTCCTCCCTCCCTTCCTTTCTTCCTTTGTTTCCTTCTTTCTTCCCTCAGTGTCTCATGCGTCCCAGGCTGACCTTGAACTTTCTATGTAGCTAGGGATGACCTTGAACTTCTGATCCTGCTGCCTCTCCCTCTCCTGTGCTGGGATTGCAGTCTGGTGCCACCACACCCTCTGGTCTCTGAGTGCTGGGATGGAACTCAGGGCCTTGTGCACCCGGGACCTGCACTCTACCAAGTGAGCTGCAAATCCAGCACTGGAGTTGTTCATTCTGTGCCAGCCGGAGCTGACATGGACTTCCCAGATTGAACGTGGTTTCCGGCTGTGCTCCCATGTGTTTCTGGCTGAGGACGGCATCGAGTCTGCGGACTCAGCAAAGGAGATCGCCCCACTCCGTGCTTTCCTGTCCTCCAACCCTTGAGAATCTGAATAAAATAAAGGGTAGAAGGGGAAGAGATTGCCTTTCCCCTTTCGCTGCTGAGCTGACACCTGTCCCCTCATCTTCCATCTTCCTCCATCCTGGGACTGGGTGCTTTACACCTTTGGATGCTGACTGGCACACCATTGGCTTTCCTCAGGCTCAGCTTGCCTGCAGTCAGTGGGTGGCAGGACTGCCTAGCCTTCATCATCATTAAAGCCAGTTCCTAGCCCTTTCCAACATTGTTCTGTGTGTGTGTCTGTCCCACCGTCTCTCTCAAGTGTGTGCATGGGCCTATGTGTGTCTGTGTGTCTGAAGACAGGATGCAGTGAGACTTCACAGGTGACATCCGGTGTCTCGTGGTTTTTGATACAGGAAGTTAGAGGGACTAAGGAAAGAAAGCAGCTCAGTGTGACATCTGATCCCTTACTGAGTTGAAGCAGTTGGCACAAAACAAAACTTAAAGGTACAAGTGGTAGGATAATCTTTTTGTGTGCTGTGAAGCTGTGTCTCTGCCAAGGCACCTACTGATTGGTTTAATGAAGAGCTGAACAGCCAATAGCTGGACAGGAGAGGTTAGACGCTACTTCTGGTCAGAGATAAGAACTCTGGGAAGAAGAGAGGTGGGATTCGCCAGCCAGACTCAGAGGAAGTCAGAGGTACTGTATTGAGGAGAGGTAATGAGCCACGTGGCAGAACATAGATTAATATAAACAGGTTAATTTAAGTTTTAAGAGCTAGTGGGGAACAAGCCTAAAGTAAGGCCAAGCTTTCATAATTAATAAGAAGTCTCTCTGTCATTATTTGGGGGGGTGGCAGTCCAAAAGAAAGACCTGTTGTAGGTACATGAGCATGTGTGGCGTGTGTGTGTGTGTGTGTGTGTGTGTGTGTGTGTGTGTGTGTGCATTCTCATGCACTCATGCATGTGCTCACATATGCATCTGTTTGGTTTTCTGCTGAATATAATGTTGACAGATATAAAAAGACTAAAAAAAAACCTAAAAAGTTCTAGGTCTATAGAAAACATACATTATTAGTACAGAAGAATATACTGCACTTAATGGTAGATCATCTTTTAAAAATATTTTTTAGAAATGGTGAATTCTGCTGGATGGTGGTGGTGCACACCTTTAATCCTAGCACTTGGGAGGCAGAGGCAGGTGGATTTCTGTGAGTTCCAGGACAGGCTCCAAAGCTACACAGAGAAACCCTGTCTTGAAACACAAATAGATAGATGATAGATAGATAGATAGATAGATAGATAGATAGATAGATAGATAGATAGATAGAATCCCTTGTGGGAGGAAAATGAAAGGTGGATCAGTTCAGGAATGAGAACAATATCTGGGAATAAGTCGTGTTTTCTGGGGATGTGGTCATTTAACCAAGTCCCTGGTGATGGGCAGACAGGTTGACATTTTCTCATCGGCAATTAACATTGGTCTCCATATGTTTAGACATAACTATCTTCTAATCCACATAGTCATTCATTTATATACACATGCACACATACACCATACAATATAAGATCAAATCTTAAGAATGGAGTTACTAATTCAAGTAGCTTATACATTTATACATTACAAATTGTTATTCAAGCAGGTCATTGAGAGCTGGTGAGATTTCTCAGTGGGTAAAGCTGCTTAAACAGCTTTACTGGTGACCTGTCAGTTCCCTGGAACCTATGTAAAATACTTCTTAAAATGCTAAACAAGCAATAGAAATTAATGCCCCTATTACAAGTGTATAGTACTGATCTCTTTGTGTTAGCAAAAGGTTTGGCTTCTGACAACTAAAAAGGAAACAAATAGCTTCTTTCAATTTTTAAACACATTTATGCAGGAGAATTAGGCCAACAGTCTCACACACACAGGATGTTGGTGTTTCATGGGTGATGTTAGCTAACCTCTTTCTTCATTCTTTAAAAAAAAGGAAGTTTAAATTTTGTAGTTCTTGTTTTGGTTTTTAAATTGGCTTGCAATGTGATTCTTTGTCTTTTATCCTTTATGGTAATCTTTTCCTTTACTCTCTGGTAATCGAGTGTGTTTTTTTTTTTTTCTCTACAAATTTATTCATTCTTTCTTTGTATTTTAGAATTATCCTTTTGGTTTTAACCTCTTGCAAATAATCATCAAACTTCTACTATCTGATCAACAGCACCATGGGGAAGGCTGCAGCCGGCCTCTCCACAGCTTCTGAGTCTCTCTTTTGGGCCCTCACTGAATCATCCTCCTCCCGCCTTATTGGATACCTTAACATTAAACAATGACTCATCCCAGGAACACCCCTACTTTTCCTTGAACAGGCAGTGCTCTTGTTCGCAGTGGCGGTCTAGATAATTTGCACTGTTCGCAAAGATGACCCCTGAAGAACAGGACGGAGTGTGTGGATGAAAAGAGATGGGAGAATCTATACTCCGTGTGGTGCTTACGTCTTTCTATAGCTATGCAGCACTTTTACAAGATTTACGCAGATTAGAAATGTAAAGATCAGGTATTACTCAAGAGTCACAGACAAACGGCTATAGGGCAAATCACATTAATAGCATACTAAAGAGAGCTGGGGAAGTCAGCAGCTGCTCTGGGGTAGGTGAGGAACTTCATGGCAGATATCTGCGGGGACACAGTGGAGTGAAATGCGTACCTCCCTTGCCAGTCTATGAGTGACTTGTCTCTCTAACACTGGCAGGCTGCGCCATTCATAGTAGTGGTGATTTGAGTAGGTAAGGCCCCGCAGACTCATGCATTTGAATGGTTGGCCTATAGAGAGTGGCACTATTGGGAGGTGTGGCCTTGTTGGAGTAGGTGTAGCCTAGTTGGAAGAAGCATGTCACTGTGGAGGCGGGCTTTGAGGTCTTTTATGTTCAATCTATACCCAGTGTGAGAGACAGTTCACTTCTTCCTGCCTGTAGATCAAGATGTTGAACTTTCAGCTTCTTCTCCAGCACCAGGTCTGCCATGCTTCTTGCCATGATGATAATGGACTAGACCTCTGAAACTCTAAGCTAGTCCCAATTAAATGTCTCCCTTATAAGAGTTGTCATGGTCATGGTATCTCTTCACAGCAAACGAAACCCTAAGTAAGACAATAGGCATTCAACATGTATACTGACTTTAATTTATCAAGTCCTCAGAGTGACCTCAGGGCATGTATGCACACTGACTCATGGGCTAGGGTTTACTGCCAATTTTCCCAAGCACCTTAAAGTATGAGAAAGTGACAAAGACATAAGTTTTCACAAGCATTGAAAGGGGAAACTTGGTGGGAGTAAAAAACGGTGCTGCCACTGTGGAGAAAAGTTTTGTGGCTCCTCAAAAAATGTAAATGCAGACTTACCTCATGACTCAATAATTCAGTTCTGGATGTAGATCCCCAAAATTTAAACCAGGGAGTCAGGTGCTTATACGGGTATTCACAGTAGCCAAAATGTGACAACAACCCAGATGTCCATCGACAAACGAATGAATGAGTGAGATGGGACATAGGCATGTCATAGGGTACATCTCAGTCTTAAAGGACCAGCCTTCAGCAGCTCAGGAATTGAAGGGGAGCCATGGAATCAGCAGACTAATCACTCAGTTGACTTTTCTAAGGGAGTAAACCATTTTACATATTACAGATGAAAAACAAATTATCCCCAAGAAACCATATATAGTTAAACATGTATCTTTGAGACTTCTCACAGATCAGGGGCCTTTCAGCCATAACCATTTACATAGGCAATAGTTTTAGTAATTGCCAGAAAAACAGGTTACTAGTTTCCCTTTTCATATTCTAGACTCCAGTCAATTTATCTTAACTAACCATCCAATTCTTTATTTTCTAGTTACATGAAGTCAATTGTTTAAAGCTTTGTTTCAGCTATAATGCACACTGAAACCCATGAACACATTTCCCAATTCAAAAAGAACTCAAGCTAACTCCTGGGACTTGATTGTTTTCCTTAACCATTAACCCAAACTGTAGTCTACATGGCTCCTCAAGAGAAACTCATAAGTCCTAGCTGCATGATCCTTCCTTGGTCCTATTTTATCCCTCTGCAGCCCTTGCTTTATTAGGGGTAGGGGCAACACTATATCCTACCTTTACCTATATTAATTTTCCCACTAGACTACCCTCTATTATAATCCCTTACTACATTTGTTAAAAAAAACCCTTAATCATCAATATTCTATTTAAACTAACACTATTATTGTATAAAATCATTACTTCAATTAAACAGTATGGCTTAAGAGGAAATTATCTTCATAATAATCCACAGGTAAAAGTACCCAGTAGAATGGGATATTTCCACAAGATAATCACACTACGTTAAAGGCAGCGGGGATTCCCCCCAACACCTATTCACACCATGCCAGATATCACAGAAAAATGGCAGCAGCAAACATGTAAAGGCACAGCAGACAAAAGACATTCTGGCGCTGAAACCCTCGGGGCCTTGCCTATTCGAGATTCACCCATCACTGCTTTGCATCCTCGTGGGCCAACATCCCGAACTTCAGTTGCTGCCGGCTGCTCTTTTGACATGGCCACCAGCAAAAGCTGAAGTTCAGACAC